AGAGGACACACGATGCACCGAGGGGGTCAGGGATAAGCCAGAGAAAGGCTCCTCTGCAGGACCGGCGGAGGCAGAGGAGGCTGTTCCAGTCACTGTGAACAGGGTGCCATCTCCTCCCCCTCCTCCTCCTCCTCTGCGGCAGCAGCAGCTGGAGTGGAGGCCAGGGTGGCACTGGACAGCACTGAACAGCCAGAAGCCATGTGAAAGGACTGGACACCCCTGACAGTGGGGAGTGACAGAGACCGCACGGCCTCCCTATGGGCACAGAGGATGGGCACCAACACAGATACAGCTCCAGGTGGACCTCAGAGAGAGCACGGCTGGGGAGCAGGAGGCCGAGCGCCATCACCTCAGCCATCAGCCACCATGCTGCCCTGCTTCTGCCCCCAAGCCAGACTGCAGACCTGGACCCCACTAACCAGAGCGGAGGCTGGGTCCCAGGTGCCAGGGACACTGTGGTACCACAGCAAGAAATGACTGCAAAGGTCACGCCACCCTCCCTAAAGGGACTCAAGACCATGTGCAGGGTCAGTGAGCAGCAGGGATGTGGGAGTAAGCGGACCGGGCTGCTGTACAGTGTCCCGTGTAAGCTCTGTGTGAGAGCCAGCCTCAGGAAGCCCCTGTGCTTACATGCTGGACAAATCGGTCACTGGACAAAAGCCTGATGACCCATTCCAGGGACCTGTCTGCTGGCCTTGACTTCAGAGAGGTTGGAGGGGGTCTGTCTGAATATGGCTCACACTGGCCATAATGAAAAAATACAAGGTAGTGTTGTAAGCTAGCATGCGGTCAATGGGGGAAAACAGAAAAAGGAGCAGGGAAAATATGCCTAGGTTGTAAACATCCTTGCCTGTGGAAATGGCCACAGGACAGTTGTTCCTACTTCTTACTTTTCTGTACTCTCCAAAGCTGTCTCAGTGAGCTGCAGGGATCAGCTGCGTGCATCTCCCGCAGAGACCTCACTGATCCCGAGGCCAAGGCCATGGCTGACAGCGTGTCCCGCCCCCCACCCCAAATCACTTAGACAAACAAGCAGGGCCTCAGAGTCACCAGGCCATTGCGTGACATCTGAAGCCCTCCCCCATGCCTTAGAAGGCATGGCACGGGGTGGCTGCTTATCTCCATAAAGACTTAACTATCCAAAGAGGAGAGTAGAGAAGAACACACTGGCTGACTGAAGATCCTGAGTGTGGAAAGATGCCAACGGGTAGCCCGGACCCCGACACTGAGGCCGGTGAAATGGCTTGGTTTCCGAAGTTCACAGGAACTCAGCAGGCCGACTCCGTCCTTCCGGTCTCCGACCCAGGCCCCACTCCTACTCAGCACAGTCCAAGGAGCCTTCCCTGCCTGCAGGATGACTGGGCGCAGCTTTTTCCTATCCACTCAGCACATCAAAGTCAAACCTGGAAACACATGCAGTTCTCAGGGTGAGCGCATGATCTAGGCCTTGGTCAGGGGACACGGTCACACAGCAGCTGCCCAGGTGACAGTAAGAGGGGTGTGGGAGAGCTGGGAAACAGGCCACCTGAGGGTTGGGACAAAATGGGGATCGAACAAGGCTCGCTCGCTCGCTGTCTTCACACGGTGGCAGGCTGCCCAGACTTCTCTTGCATGTGTGGAATCCAGGCAGAAAAGGAAAGCTAAAGCGTGAGGAAGTGAGCCCAAGAGCGCAAAGAAGGAGCCCCTCCTCCTGGGGGGCGCTCCTCACAAGAGCAGGGCTCATGGTCCCCAGAGGCAGAGCAGGTGGGATACTCCGTGACCTTCAGAGCTACTTTTAATCTGGGGCACCTCAGGGCAAGCCAGCCCAAACAGCCCCTGCAAAACAAGGAAAGGAGACCCTCTGAGATGGAGACGTGGTGCCTGAAACAGGAATAGCCAGTGTGAAATTAGTACCACACACGCCAAACAGCTTCTCCTCCTCCTCCACACAAACAAAACAAGGACCTTGACAGAAAAATGGGACAAAGGCACCTCCCTGGCGACAAAGCCAGACTGGTCAAGGACTTGAAGGGAAGCCAGGAATGAGTCAAAGCTGCCCCAGACCACTGGGCTGCAGACCTCGGCAGGAGCAAGGGTGAAGCCTACCCAGCCGAGGGCACCTTGGCCCAGGCCCGCGATGCACAGAAGCAAAGTGAGAAGAGGGAACGACATTCCAGAAGATCTGGAGACCCTGTGAGGCCACAAAGAAGAGGAGGCGCACAAAAGTCACACTGAGTCTGAAGAATCGGCCTAGAGGAGAGCACTTGGGCTAAAGAGAGGAACAGTAGTCAGGGAGCTGGGAACACAAGGGGGTCAGCCAACTGCTACACGGGAGGGCGGGGAAGACAAAGTCAAGCCTCCCAATGCCACTGGGAGGTGGTCAGCTCGGCAGGGTGCTCCCGAGGAAGAGAAAGGAAGCCCCAAGCAGGTGGCTGCTGGGATCACAGGACGCAGTGCTCTGGTGCAGACAGAGGACATGATGGGATGGGGGAGCCTTGCTGCTGGCCCCAGTGTCCCTGGGAAGGGGATCCTTCCAGGGCCCCCTCACCATGGCAGCAGAGGACTGGTCTGAAGCTGCCACCCCTGGACTTCCCCTCCTAACCACACCTCAGGGCAGGCCTCAGCGGGTCTCTCCCCCTGGAGACTGCACTCACTGCCCAGCTGCACCCCACTTCTCCGGGTACTCATGAGAGTAGGAGAACGGAGGGGCAGAGGAGGGGGACCTCAGGGCAGGGAGCGCCATCACGGGGTCCCCACTAGCAGCCCTGTCTGAGAAGAGGCCTCTCAGGCCACTTCCACTTCTTCAGACCACAGGGTGGGAAGAAGCAGCAGCAGCAGCCCACTCTCAGCAGATCCAGGCTCGGGATTTGCCACTGCTCCGAGGTGCCAGGGTATTGGACAGAAGCCAGCCACCACGGTCCTGGGGAGCCCGAGAGGGGACACCAGTACGGGTGGGCACTCAAAACCCTGCGTCCTCCCTCCCAGGAGGAAGGCAAGCTCTCTGCTTCGCTTCACCTGCTTTCCTGTTTCCCCACCCGCTGCGCAAGAGAGCAGGTGCCTGTGACCAGAGACCAAGCAGTGCTCTGCGGGTGTCCTGACCTATGGCAAATCTGTCCCCACCCTTCCCCACATGATGCTCTGGGACCCGAAGGCAGGAGGCCTGCAGGCTGCTGTGGGGGGGGGGCGCAGGAGGTGCCTGTTCTCGGTCCACCAGAGGCTGGGACCCCGAACTCGGCTCTCAGGTCAGGGTGCAGGACAAAGGAAGGGCGCTGAGGGCAGCACAGCCGCCCCGAGGGAAGGCTGGGCACCCAAGGGCGATGCCAGAGGAAAGAAGGCTTGCTGGGGAGCACTGGGGTGCGAAAGACAGCAGGACACAGAGCGGGTATCGCTCCCCCTCGCAAAATCGGCCTTGCCAAGCAGCGCCCTGTCCACCCACCCACGGCAGCGACGGACAGCAAGGCCAGGAGGAAGGAGGGCCCTCAGAAGGAAGGAGAGCCCTGGCCTGGCCGGCGTCCCCGCCCTCCCCGTGACACGCCCTGGGTCACTCCCAGGGTCGGCCAGGCGGGAGGACCGGGCCTCCCAGGTCTCTGAGCTCCGCGCTCCAGCCCTCCTTTTCTTCCCCGGACTTCTCCACGGGCCTCGTCCCCGGGACCTCCACGCCCAGCTCCGCCCTGAGCAGCCTTCCAGGCCGCTGCTCCTCCTCCCAAGGTGCTCAGGCGTCCAGCGCCCCCCTCAGCTCGGATTTATTCGGTCCTTACTTCTGAATCCCGCCTTTTTGTTCATTCTTATTGTACTTGTTTGCGGTACGGTACGGAATGATCACACCCTCGTGGGGAGTTGGGACGTGCAGAACCCATCTCCATACTTTCCTTTCTCCCTCGAGCTCCGCACTCCACTCACTCCTCCCCTCCCCCGGCATTTTCTCACGAGTCAGCCCGAGGCTCAGGCAGTGACTTAGTCCCAGAGCTTTCGCACAGCAACCTGGGCTCGCCCTCAGGCTCCTCCGCCCCTCGCACAGCCCCACCGTCGCCGCCTGCAGCACATTCTCAGCTCCGCCCAAAGCCAGAGCCTAGCTCCAAACTCCACAGAAGTACGCAGCCCCGCCCTGTCCCAAGCCCCGCCCTGCTACCGCCTACAACTCCGTCGCTAACTCAGCGCCCCAGTCCCGCCGCCAACAGGAAGGCATAAAATGGTCCCTAAAGCTCACACCCTTAACCCCGCCCTGCTACCGCAAGCTCCCCCCAGTAGCTCTGCACTCTCAGCCCCCAAATACCACAGCACTCACAGCCCAGCCCTGATACCCCAAGCTCCGCCCGACTGTAACTTTCACCCCCTAGCCCCGCCCCGTCTCAGGCGCTGGACTTCCCCTCCTAACTACACCCCAGGGCAGGCCTCAGCGGGTCACTCCCCCTGGAGACTGCACAGGCCCGCCGCCCTCCTCCTCCAACCCTGGTAAACTTCAGCTGTCACTGCCATACTTTCCCCCTCCCCAACTGTCACAGAGCTTCAGGAGCCAGGTCCAACTGCACCTCACTACCGGCCTAGCCTGCTTCAGCCTGAGCCACAACCCAAACACTCAGCATTCAGGCTCGCCCCAACGATGGCCCCAGCAATCAGCCCCAGCCCGCACTGCGCCCCAGCTTGTCCCCGTTTCTGCCTCCACTCAGGCTCCGCCCACTCTGCCCGAGGCCCCGGCTCCACCCCACTTCAGCTCCGCCCCAAAAGGGCTGAGGGCTCAAGGCACCGCCCTCAAGAGGATTTTACTCTGGGCCCAAGGGCTTCCCCCAAAGACAGGCCCGCCCCTACATGTCGCTTCAGCACTCAGGCCCACTCTATTCCGCACAGCCATGCCCAATTCGTCTCAGCGCTTAAGCCCCGCCCCCACCCCGCCTCAATACTTAAGCCCCCCCTCCTAGCTCCCTCATCCCTGGCCAACTCTCCCCCCCGCCCACCCCCCCTCCGCACTCAAGCCCGCCCCTATGCCACGGAGGAAGTCACCGCCTCGCCACCCAGTCAACCTCATCCGTGGCCAATCCTCTGCCATTAAAGCCCCCAACTCTACCACAGAATTCACAGCCCGGAAATCTTCCCCACTGCACCGCCCCCAGTTCCTCCTTCACAACTTTCACACCGCCCCGCCCTGTGCCTGAGAAGCCCGGCCTCCTCCCTTACAGGCCGCCTGGCATCCAGCCGGCCGGCCTTGTCCCGCCCCTTCTTTGTCCTCCTCTGCTTCATTTCCTCCTGTACTCCCCCCCTCAGCCGCCTAATAGGCCCGCTACCCACAGGGCCCACTGAACCCAAGAGCATCTCCTAGCGAGCGGGGCGGACATAATCACGTGTTTACGCAAGTGCGTGTCTTCCTACCGACGCGTACCTTGCATGCCCGTGGGCCTGATTGGCTGCGTCGGACCGTGCTGCGTAGTGCGTGTGGCGTAGGTACTTACGTGGATGGACGCTAACGCGTATGCGTGCGTGGTTGCGTATCGCTCCTAAGAGGGGCCGCGAGGGTCTTTGAAGAGGCGGAAGAGTTATTGCCTGCGAGCTGCGGTTAGTGACTTGCTGTTCCCCGCAGCTAAAGCAGGGGCGGCACATCCGCGATGCGGGCCGGTCGCACTCCGCAGCAGTCTAATCGCCTCGCGAAAGCGCCAGAGCCCCTCGTCCTCCTTCTGGAGCTGTCGCCGGACGCCGGCAGGCGGTGGACAGTCCCGGCCGCTGTGTGGGGCCTGAGTAGGCGCAGTACGCATGCGTGCAAACTGCGACCCGCCGAGGCCTCGGGGCGCCGGCTGCTGTGCTGCTCAGCCTTGTGCTCCGCCCGCTCGCAGAGGAGGCGCCCCTGGGCTGAGCTGCCTTGGCGGTGGGTCCCGCCTGAGGGCGCCCTGGACTGCTTGCTGCTCCTCCTGACCTCTCACACCGTCTCTTGCTACGTGCGCCTGTGATTTGAGTTTTCCGGGGAAGCCCTGTTGGGGCCCCCCCACCCGTGTTGCCTCCACTTTCCCCTTGGGCTGCAAACTCACCCCGTCCCCGAACGTGGGTTCCGCTCCGCTGAGGCAGCTCGCCCAGCGTGGCCTACCCCGAATTAAATCTAGGCAAGCGTATTCGGACCTCCAAACCTTTGCCCTGTGACCACGAGAGGGGAAGTGCCTCTCCTGGATCCTGCCTGCCAACCTAAGAAGGTGGCCTGATTACTGGACTCATTTCCTGCCCTGCTGGGTGTGCGTCGGGTGGCCCTTCACAGGCAGGGCACCAGGTTGCCACTGTGATCAGCAGAGCCAAGCCCTGAGTGAGGGGCTCAGGTGGGTTCCCATGAGACCGACCCCCTTGCTTGCAGAGCAGGAAAAGCCTTCGGTCCATTTGCTAACACTGCTGCTTACACTTGACCTTTCCACCTTGTCTCCCTTGCCCTGGTGCAGGTGAAGCTGAGAGCAGAAGAATACTCCTCGTCGAGGCTCAAAGGTACTGGGCAGGACGAGGCTCTGCCTCTTCTCGCCTAGACATGCTTCCTTCTTCACTAGGAGGCGCTCTGCGCCCTCAGCTCAGGTTTGAGCGAGGTGATTCTGTGGAATTGGTGGGAAAAGTGTTGGTTTAAGGAGCACCGTAGTGCAGAGCAGGCGAACCTTCGTTCTGCTCACGTGCCCCAGCAGGAGAAATAGAAACAGCAGGGTCCCAGGGAAGTGGTCTCCCTCCTTCATAATCCCTGCAAATCAGGAGTAGGACGACACTTTGTCCCCCATCGGCAGCAGAAGGATGACCCTTGTGGTCTTGACGTGAGGAAAAGGCACTGTTGGAGAGTGGGTGCACCTGGACAGCTCTGGGGAAGCCACTCGCTGGCAGGTGTCTGTGTCCTCGAGGTGCGTGCCGTCTGACCTGGGCATCCTCACGCATGTTTTCACGCCGTGAGTGTTAGCGGTGATACCGTTTCTGGTGGCACGAAAGGGAAGTACCTTGTAACCGTCGGTCAGCAGAGCAGCAGTTGTGTAAATTGTGGGACAGCCAGCCAGGCACGATAGAGGCAGCGGAGAGAAAGGCGGGTGAAGGTACGTGCAGAAAGAAGGCTCCACGTGCCATTCAGTAGCAAAAGTGAGGCTCCGCTGTGGGGGTGTTCGGGGAACAGCCTGTGTCTGTGTGTTTCTCCCAGGTGGGACTGCTCGCTCTGAGAAGCAGGAGGAAGGTGGAAGACGGTGCCGACGGCTGAGTGTGTGCGTGAGTATGGGAACGAGTGGGGGGCCGGCCACGCTTGTCCTGACAGGGCCTTGTCTTCTAAGGATGGACCGTTTCCTGAATCCTTAGCCCGTACTGGAGGTTGAGTTCTGCTACTGACAGAAGCAGCCGGGAGGCAGTACCTAAACAAGGGGACAGCTCACGGGTGGAGAGCAGAGCAGGAGATGGGGCCCAGGGCTCACTGCTGCAGGTACAGCTGAGTAGCCTCCAGTGGGGACTGTCCTTCCTGGCACCACGCGTTCCCGTCCTCGCAGCCTCCTGGAAGCTGAGGCCGTGTGACAGCTGCAATCGGGCTGAGGTTCTGGCTTCAAGCCCGTGGCTTTCCTGGCAGGGGACTGTCTCCTCCTACTGCGCAGCACAGTCTTCTACCAGGGGAGACCACCATCTCCCGAGGGACACGAAGAGGGAGGGGCCTAGGCAGGGCTGTGTCACTGCAGCCCTCCAGGAGACTAACACAAGTACTGACCCTGCTGGGTCATTTGGGGGTTAAATTCAGTCCCCCGAAGATATGAGCACCGCGGGACCTGGTACAGAAGATGCAGGAGCCGTGTGGTCATTGCTCTTGATCCCAGCATCCCTTTCTCCATGCTCAGGGCAGTGTGCGGGGATAATTGAGAGTGGTGCCCAGCCACCAGGGTCTGGAGGGACCCTGCTGGGCCACTGGGTGTCACAGAGTGTCTTGACAGGTGAGCTGGGGTCAGTTGCCAAGGCTGAGGTCTGCCCCAGAGGGAACGCGGCCCACAGCTCTTAGGGTAGTGGGGCAGGGGAGCTGAGCATGGGCGGGGTGACATGGGCCGGCAGGAAGAGCAGCAGAGCCAGGGCTCCCCCTCCTTGCCAAAGCCAGCCCACTTGGATGTGAAGCTCCAAGTGGGCCAGGGACCCCTCGCTCCACTCTTCTGGGTTCCCTCCCTAGGGCCCGGTGACCTCTGTCGTAGCTCTGAGCACGCCTGCACCTGTCTCTAGCTGTCCCCAGCTTACTCCCTGAGCTTCCCAGAGCCCGTCAGAGGGAGCCCCATCATCCAAACTCCAGGCCCTCGTGTTGGGCCTGCTGTGGGCCAGGTGGCAGTGACCCCATGGTGACGGGGTGTCTGTGGGGCTTGAGGGCGCCCCAGGGACGTGTGGGGAGGCCGGACCTGCTACCCAAGAGCCTGACGGGTGGCGTGTGCTGTGCTGCTGTGTTCAGGCCCAGGGATCCCAAGGACAATGAAGTTTGGCTGTCTGTCCTTCCGGCAGCCGTACGCCGGTTTTGTCTTAAACGGAGTCAAAACCCTGGAGACTCGGTGGCGGCCCTTGCTGCGCAGCCAGGAGAGCCGTACTATCGCCATCCACATTGCTCACAGGGACTGGGAAGACGACAGCTGGTGGCAGCTGCTGGTGGAGAGGCTGGGGATGAGCCCCGAACAGGTCCAGGCCTTGCTTCAGAAAGGGGAGAGGTTCGGCCGAGGCGTGATCGCCGGTGAGTGAACGTGAGCCATCGCTGGCCAGGCCGCAGTCGTCTGGAGCCTGCACCCACAGGCGGTGCATTTGCTGCGCTTTCCCTACACAGTACACCCTGCCCGGACCACAGGGAACACTGGCCTGGTAGTCCACACCCACCCTCTCTCTGGGAAACTGTTTCTCTACTCTGGACCTGTTTCCTGTGTGTGGTGTGGGAGGCCCTGTCAGGACCCTGTCTATGTGTGTGAGCATAGCACACTCGCCCACGTGCGACAGCATCCATGAGAGGCAACACCGATTGCGTGGTATCTGGAGTCCTGCCACCTTCTTGACCTCACTGTGAGGCCTGTCCGTCCCAAGGCCACTGCCAGCAGCACCCAGGACTCGCCCACTCAGCCCTTGGTGGCTGAGGTCCTGCATCAACAGCTGTCCCTTGGTGACCCGCTCAGCCATCTCGTTGCCTGTCGTTTCCCCAGAAGTGGCCGCTGCCCTCCCAGTATGTCCCCATCACCCTCAGCTGTCTGCTGTGACCCACCCAGCCCTCATGTGGCTTCCCTGGAGAGAAGGCCTGATGCTCTTCATTCCTGGAGCCCTCTCTGCCATGCCCAGGATTCCCACACAGTGAGCAGACCTGGGCATGGCCGTGTCCTTTGGGTGACGCCTCGGTCTCCAGCATTGGTCACCCCGAGGGATGCTTGGTGCACGGCCAGGCCTCGGTTCGTGGCGGGACACCCAGCTGTGTGTTTCTCTGTTCCCAGGGCTCGTTGACATCGGGGAAACTTTGCAGTGCCCGGGCAACTTAGGCCCTGAGGAGGTTGTGGGGCTGGAAAATCGAGCTGTGCTGACCAACCTGACGCAGAAGTACCTGACGGTGATTTCCAACCCGAGGTGGTTACTGCAGCCCTTCCCGAGGAAAGGGGGGAAGGACGTATTCCAGGTGGACATCCCCGAGCACCTGATCCCTTTGGGGCCTGAGTTGTGACCATCGTGGGCTCCCCGGTGGGGCGTCACTGAGAGGCGAGCTCAATCATGACATGGTTCCTTCATCATGGCGCAGACCTGGAAAATGAGCTTAGACTCATTTGCCACTGCCCTACACGGCGCTGCCCACCAAGTACTGTTCTCAGGCACAGACTTCGCTGTCCTTCTGAAGGGAGTGGGGGCAGGACTTTCCTTCAGGGTGACTCTTTGGACTCAGTGTTGCGAGTGCGTTGACCTTTAGCACCTGGAAGTATCTTGGCGGGGCCGCTGACATTGGGCCGCTACTTTGCAGATTGTACAAATAAATGTGTTCATGATAGTCTTTGGCTTCTAGGGCTCCTTTGTGTGCTTCCCTCCTTCTGTTTGAGTCAAAAGTCAGGGAGCACGTGAACGGCACCCAGGGGAAATTGGGGGTAGTCTGAGACCGGGCCCTGAATCTTGCTGGAGAGAGACTGGCATTTCCTGTGATGCTTTTGGGGTGCATGGAACATCAGATGAGTTAGAGCAGCCATCTGACCTCACATTACTCTCTTCCCTAGGGCTCATGAAGCGTGTATCATGCAGCTGCTTTGTATCTAACAGCAACCCTAAACTGCTCTGATAGTTTGTGAAGTTGTCTGAAACGAGATCGGTTGTGTTTATTTTGTAGGGTTTTTGCCGATTTCTCAGCAGTTTCTGCTGGTTGGAACCCATGCATATTAGGGGCTTCTGCCCTGAGGAGACCTGGGATGACCTGCTCAGGAAAACCAGGAGGTAGTAGTTGTGTATCCAAGGCAGGAGGGCAGCCTGACTTTTGGGTGCGCCTCTGCAGGGATGCTGGACGTTGG